CTTTTTATTGTGCAGACACAATGCCTTGATAAAACTGATGAGCTTATTTGACAGTGTTTGAAAATTCACCTGTACAGGTGATGTTGAGTATTGTGACAGCTTTTGAATATGTTGACCAAGGTGATGGTCCAGTTAGATCTTGGTTAAAAGCTTGATTAGATCTCATAATAGCTCATTGATAACATCCTCAGAGTTTGCATTGTGAAGTCTCTTGCTGTTTTTATTCTTTATATTTGAGCAAATATACATTGTACCTTTCTTCTCATTAGAACTTCTGTCAGTTTTGGAGGTGTTTGGTTTTTTTTGTTTGTTTTGTTTGTGTTTCCTCCCCCCTCCCCAATTCTTATGCCCGTTTCCATTTGTGGCTTTGGGAAAGATTCTGGCAGAGGTCATGTGAAACAGTGTCTGCAAACATCAAAGGCAAATCTATTATGGTTCTTAGTTTGTCTCTTTCATCCTAAAAGCACGCCTAGAGTGGTCATAGGAGCCTTATAGAAGTGTTGGAGTAGAGTGGAGAGGGTGGTTAAAAACAAGAAGTTGCATCTGGTGAGCAGAAATAGAATGCTGACAGAAGTTGAGTGTGGATTGCAGTGGATTTAAAGATGCACGTTTTTTCGTGTGGCTGCCTGCACAGTAACATCCTCTCTTGTGTCAGCTACCTTCTTAACAATGTTTCTTTTTCTTCATGGCAGTCTTTGTATCTCATTCCCAATTCAGCTGACAGGACCAAGGTTGCTGCCTACTTTTTTTGGTTGAAAGAATGGCTAGTGGAAAAGAGAAGGAATGGTGCTGAGTATAAAGCCACTGATAAGATTTTGTACTTCTTTTTGTACTTCTTTGTACAACTTTGTACAGTTGATAAGCCCTAGTTACTGGATGGGGAAATCTACAAAAGAGTTGTTGATAACAGCACTTAAAATAACACTAGAATAACAATGTAAATGATTCTGAAACTGTCCTGGTTGTGTCCCTTGTCCCTTCAGACTGACAAGTTCCACAAGGCAGGCCCACATGAGAAAGGGTTCCTGTCAGCAGAGACTTCAGGGGCTTCCTCACATCTGCCTGTAGTCACAGCATGGTACCATAGAAAGAGGATGGAGTAATTAATAATTAATAAGATATCTACATGCATATAGGAGCTTAAATATAAAATTGACAATATTTATTAAAACACACCTAAATTAATGTTTATAAAGACTAATGTTTCAGGTGTGTGCAGCAACACAAAGTAATAAAATCAAGTCCACTGGTACTTCTACAAATCAACCCTTAATTTTACTCTTTTAAGTAGTGTAAAAAGAGTTTAAAAGTGTTTCATAATGCAAATAGTTCATTAGGATGCATTGGGACTAATCTTTTCCTGTGAGCAACAGACAGATGCTGCTCCCCAGCATTTTAGTGATTGTTTAATGCTGGACTATCTCTTATGATAACTCATTTTTTCTCTTTAGTGAAAGAAAGGGTTGGCTTTCTGAACCATCTGAGCAGCTGGCCCCTAGGAAGGAAAGAAAGCAAGCTAATCCATTAAGTGAATGGTAGAATCTAGCAAATTGTATCAACTAGAAATCCTTTTTAAAAATTCTCATTACTCAAGAGTCTGGCAGAGCCACATCTAGCTAAGTGGTTTATGTTCCCTACAAAGTCTGAAAGTGTGGTCTATGAAGAAGAAATGTCACAACTGAAGCAGGTATTCTGCTTAAGGGCTGCTCAAATGGGCCTCAGAGTGCTAGGGAACAGTCTGGGCAAGCTGAAGAGGAACAATTCATTCTTCAAGAACCACCAGAATTGACTTGGGAGTCCCAGTTCTCTGTCAGTCTTACTTAACTGGCACTATTGAGAATTTTATCTAGTTCACACTAAACAAAATGGGAAAATAGCAAAGGATTGTATAGGAAAGAAAACCTGATAGTGAATACATTTTCAGTTAATGTATTTATTTGAGAAATAGATTTTAGGACATTTTTTCTTCTTATTGCATTTGTGATAGGAAAATAAATTAGGATGGGACAATGTTGACAAGTATCTCAAGCATTTTAACAGCATAAAAATGGAAATAATGCATCATGCCTACAGTATTTCTTTGAGTGAATAAATAGATGTTGCTATAGGAATCCTTTTTGGCATGCTATATTTCAATGTTTATTTATTTACTCCATTACAAGAAGTGAGAAAATTCTATCCTTGACACTGTATATTGTTTTTCTAGTTTGTAGAATAAGTGAGTGAAATCTTTTTCTGTTAGAGTGTAGATATTCCTGTTCTGAAAGACTGCTAGACCACTGTCCATGAAACTTACATTGATCTACCCATGGTGGAGAGTCTCCTTGTACAGAATGATTTCAGTACATTAAAGCACCACATCCACTGAGTTAACTGTGGTGTCTGATCTCTTGATGCCCCTCTTGAATCAGTAATTTTAAAACTTAACCTATTTCTTATCCTGGGGTTGGAATCCGTGTACTTTTCCCTCACAAGGAAAGGTTTACAGTGAATTGTATAAATTTTCAGATAAACAGCTTTGCCAGCCTGAACTATGTTGAGCATCTTTGGCTTTCATTCCTGGAGGAAAGACAACAAATATAGCCTGTAGCTTATTGCGAGTTTACTCATCTCACAAAGAGTCTTTGAAAGGACAACAGTATATTATGTTTTCTTCCAGGGATATGGCTCTTAGTCACAACTTCCTCTTGGTTCTTGGAAGAGATACAGATTATCTGGTACCTAGGTTAAATCAAGTTCATCCCATTTGAGGCCTTTTCTTTATCAGATCTCTTCAGAAGGTAAGATTAAAGTATACTATCTTCATGGAAAAGAGCTTGGAAAGGCTGGGTGCTTACAGAGTACCAGCACTAAAAATCTCTCCCTGCCTTCTCTTGGCTAATTTTTATTTCTACAGAAGACTCATATACCATGCCAAGAATATACAGCTATAAATATTCCTTCAATGTTTCTCTATTGCAAGTTGTAGTGTACAATTGAAGCGCCTGATGTTAAGAACTAAACTCTGAGTCTACATGGGAGACATGATGCAAGATTCTTTGAAATAACCAGAAAAAAAAAACCCACCAAAACTTTTCTACAAGGAATCAGGTCCACTTAGATTTAACTAGGTGTTTTTTTTTTTTTTTTTTTTTTTTTTTTTTTTTTTTTTTTTTTTTTTTTTTTTTTTAATTAAAAGTTAATTTTTTTTTTTTATAGGCAGAGAAAAAGTAGGCATTATTGTCAGGCTGTGAAAAGGGTACAGTTTGTCCTGTGCCTGGGGACTGCATAGGACTTCTCATCCTCAGGGAGCTCCAGTCTCCAGTCCATCACACACATACCTGCCCATGCTTCCACTGGGGCATAAAGTTAGGGAGAGGAATATAGGATATGTTCCTACTTATATTCTCCTTGTCTATCCTCTGGGGACTTCAGTACCAAATACAGATGGAAAGCAGGAGTCAGCTGTAGCTTTATGAGGGGATGCACCTTTCTTCTACTTGCAGAAGATGTTCCTAATATCAATCCACTGTTGTATTGAAGTGCTTTGTAGCCAGCATTGGGCTGGCCTTGGCCAGCTGCCAAGCACCCTTTGCAGCCTCTTTCTACCCTTCTCAGCTGCACAGGAGAAAAAACCACAATAAAAAAGCTCATTGGTCGAGATAAGGAGGAGATCACAAAGCCAATGTGTCATTCAGCTGTGTTCAGTTCTGATACCCTTTGTCAGCAAAGTGGCATTTCTGTCATGAGTGCAAGAAGGCAAATGAAAAAAATGCACACTACAGCCCCAGGGGTTCCCAAACTATTTGGATTGTAGAAAACTAGGTATAAATTTGTTGTGTCTGTAGAAAACAGATCTGGTGTCTTAATGTTGGCCTGAGCTGCTCAACAGCACGTAAGGCCACATCAGCTAAAGAAGGAAATATATTGTCTATTAGAGGAGGGTTTTGTTTTAGTTATTATATTGAAAATACAGAAGACAAGTATGAAAATGAACAAGTGTTCCTCATACCAATCTCAATTTGGCTGTCATTCACATTTTCCTTCTGGAATCTCTGTGGAGGCTTGGAGGCTAGCTTAAGAAATGCTGTCTCATGGGTTGCAAAACATAGTTTGCAAAACAGAGTTTGGGACCAAGGGACCAAGAAGTCAACTTCATGTCACTTTGTTTCCTATATTCTGTCATTTGAAGTCAAACTAATAAATGGAATACCAGTTCGCTATTTTTTTTACCCTGGCTTTCTTGCCAGGGAGATTTCCTTTTGAGATAGACCCATTCCCCTCCTTATATTTTTTCTTCAGAATTTATTTCCTGATTCTTAGCTTGCTCCAAGAATGCAATTTCTGGCTTATGTGAGATATATCTGTGATAACTAGTGGTTCTTCTTTCCCCATTCTTTGAGATTGAGATACAAAAAGCAAATGCAGAAAATTACACCTTCTCCTTTGCTGAGATTGTCCTTCCTTTCCAAACTCTTACTATGAATTATTTACCATGAGCCATATTCATTGTGTACAGATCTTATACATCTTATCTCTTTATCCCTGGTTCTCAGCTTTTCATACATCATGACTGAGTGGACATGAGAGCACTTACGTTTTCCTGGATGCAGGAACCTGGATGAAGTGACAGCCCCATCTCAGGGCAAGTGTGGTCCAATGTTTGCTTTGCTCCTTCCACTGGCACAGTGGCAGCCAGGGAGGGCTCAGGCCTGTGGTCTAGGGTGAGCTGTGGCACACTCTGGGCAGAGTCCCACCCAGGCAGCTGTGTGTTCATACACCTGAGGCATACCATTGCCAGCAGGCTTGATGTAGCTGCAGAGCCATAGCAAGGCAATATTACTAATATAAATGACAGATCCTGCATTTAGAGTGGAGGTTTTTCATAACTTCTGCTTTTTCAAAGTATCTTTCCTGTCTGCTCTTTATCAGTTTTGGTGTTTCTGCTGTCGTAAGTCCCAAATTGGAAATATATTAGCTGTAACAGCTCAGTGAATCATTCTTTATGTTTCTTTTTGCAGATGGCCTAGTAGCTGAAATTGAGAAAAAGATTACAGAAGCTTTTGAGGTGTTTGACCGTGAATCCAATAAAACTGTGGATGGCAGGTTTGTAAATATATTCACAAATATATTACAGAATCTCAATAGAGATAAACAGCTCCCTAAACTGGCATCTGCTTTACCAGAAAATGTCATAGAATCAGTTCTTTTCACCCTGTTGGACAAGTATGTTTGTAGTGGATAGACCTTGGATGGATGCCTAAATATTCTTGGATGCTTTTAATTCTGGTATTTTTAAAGTTTGAATATTTGACAGTGCTACTTGAACTTAATTTTAACATAAACATTCATACACGTATAACTTATGTTATAAAATGCATAAACCACATGTTTATGTCTCAGGGAGCAGGCTCTGAGGTTATAAGCTGTTGTCATGAAAGTTTACTGAAGTAGTTTTTCATATTTATAATTACTATTTTCAAAATAATATAATTTTAATTATAAATCAGTTATTGAATAGAAACACTACAATGGAGTGTGAGAACTGGTGAAATGTTGTCATTAGACATTCTGCATGAAGACAAATTGAAAAACATATTTAAATGTTCTGAACAGCTTTTCTGTATTACAGAGAGGAAATGGAGGTGCAAAATATTTACGTGATGGTTGTAGCAATGCATGTTTACTAACGATTCTAAATGTAAGAAATTGCAGGTATTCCATAGAAGTAATGGTTTTTCAGCTATACCCGATGGGGAGAATATCAGGATATGTCTCCATACTCAGTATAGTTGCTGTTCCCTTGTCCGTAGGGCTCTGCAGGGGAGAGTGATCTCTTAAAGCTCTTAAATCTCTTGGTCTGTGCCCAGGGAGGAGCCTGATGACCAGGGCTGGAGCTGTCTCGATGCCCCCTGGTGCCCTGCTCCTGGCTGGACAGTAGGGTGAGCCCTGGCTGCCCAGCCTGGGCAGAGCCCCCACCAGTACCACCCCCAGCCCTCACTGCATCATGGCCTACTCACTGCTTGTTTGTTTGTCTGTAGTCTTGGCATCTGCAGTCTTGGTTAGGCAGCTGTAGAATTTTCTCCACTTCTCACTCTGTTATATATGGATATACAGCTTGGGAGCATATTACAACAATGAAATGATACAAGTAGACTTTTAAAAAAATGTATTCATTCAGACAGGGGACATCCAAAAGTCTATTTAATGTAGTAAATGCACAATTTCACATTAATTTTTGTGTAGTACGGGTACAGACAATGAACAAAAACTTACTGTCTAATTATACCTAGGTTCATATTGCAGAACTGTATCACAAATGGGATTATTAATGGCTGATTATCTTGTATCAGAAGGTGGCAGCACAGCACAAGTCTTAACCACAATTGTAGCTTTATCAGTGTTAATGCCTGAAATATCAGATATCCATGAAGAAAGGAAAATGATACTGGTTTGACAAGCCAACATAGGTATTCCATGACTCCTAGTACAAATTAGTAAGAAATTAAGCACTAGGAAGATGGTATTTTTCATTAATATTTCATGTTCTTCAGTCAAGGACTTTTGTGATATTGCAAATATTGTTATTAAAAGTGTTATATGTAAAGTGAAAACCATGACCCAAAATTGTCATTGCATCTGTGTTACAAAACTTGTATGATCATAACTTTGATTTAAACTATTGTTTTGTATTCTAGTAACTACACAGCAGAAACTGCAGCTGCTGAACTAAGTGAGAAGAAGGGGCTGGGAGCAAAATAGTTTCCTATCAGGTCCTTTAAACTCCATGTTATTACCAAATGGGTCCTGACTTTTTTTACCACAAGCACTTCAAGCAAAACCCTCATGCTGGCATGCAGGCAGACTGCCAGATAGAGCATCCAGCAGTGCCAGATTTTGCAGACTCTTCTAGGGTCTGACTTACCTCAGACACATCACAGTTCTGCTGGGTGTGAGTGAAGTGGGGCAGGAGGGTGATGGCAGCATTCCCATTCCTGGCAGTCTGTGAGAGCAGAAACAGTGTGGGACAACAAGGACGTAGGATTTGTGTTGGATGTTGCTCTGGTGGAGGCAGGGAATAATTACAAGTAGCTGGAAAATATGAAGGAGTGCAGAAGTGAGAACAACAAATGCAATATTAGACATACTAGAAGTAGGATTATGGACAAGGATTATGTCTAAATGAGTGACCTCCCTGAGGCCATTAGCCATTCACACCCACAGGGGCAGGGTCATTTGAGTAGATGGTTTAATTTCATAACACATGGATGTGTGGGATTTGGTTTTGCTCTGTAACTAGTTTTGTGCAGCCAGCCTTTTTCTCTCTTTTGTATATTGTAGTGCTTCTCATGTTTTCAGTCAGAATGGGAACTCCTTGGGACCTGTCCGAGGAGGTCATAGACTTATAAATATAATTTTGCATGTGTTTAGTGTGCTGCATTCAGGGCCTTACGGTTGTAAGAAGATTTTACAAAAATCATTCCTGCTTGTACTACCATTTTTATTAGGCAATCTGATTTTTGCACAAAATGGAAAAATTTACCACTGGTCAAGATGAAGGAACCACAGAGGTTTGGATCATGAAAACCACTGGCACTGTGAATAGATATTCAAATGTGCTTAAATTTTTGTGTTGTTGAATTGAATTGTAAGTCACAAGCTTTATTAATGCTTCTGTTATTTTTATTAAATCATACCATAAGTCTCATTAAAGCTTCATTACAGCCTTACAATAATTTTGTTTCTAGTCTGTGACATTGTTCATCTGAGACAACTTTGAGGCACTGCCAGTTTGGTCAGAATTTTATTTAGAGCCTCAGAACAGCTGCACCAGGTTCAGCAGTAAATGCAAGCTATGAATATATTTACAGCATAAACAGAGTGGTGATAAGCCACTTTGTTGCTCTGTTTGACTCTCTGAGAGCACAGGATGGACATACAGGGCTGCCTTCTTCCTCACCTTTTGTAATTGTTCTTTAATGCAGTTAGAATTTGTATCTTTATAGCATTTAATGGAAGTATGTATTTTATTTGTTACTTTGCATCTCAGTAGATTTTCAAGTGGTTTGTTAACTACAGATATATAGACTTTACTGAAAAACATTACAATTAGAGAACAGCAATGTAAAAGTAACTTGCGCACAGTAAGTGCAAGTGCAACACAATAGTAAAGAATCTTTTAGTGAAATTGCAAGAACAATTTCAAGGAGCTTCAGAATATTTTCTGTCCGAAAAAGCAGACATTCCTTACTGAGGCATCAACTTAAAATTCCAAATAGATTTTCTTGTGTGCCTTTATGTGCACACCCCTATATGCAAGCTCTGAATTGGTATCTGTATTCTCAAAAGTCTTGTATTGCAGACTTATTAACACAGATCCTTCCTTCCTTCCTTCCTTCCTTCCTTCCTTCCTTCCTTCCTTCCTTCCTTCCTTCCTTCCTTCCTTCCTTCCTTCCTTCCTTCCTTCCTTCCNTCCTTCCTTCCTTCCTTCCTTCCTTCCTTCCTTCCTTCCTTCCTTCCTTCCTTCCTTCCTTCCTTCCTTCCTTCCTTCCTTCCTTCCTCTCTCCCTCCCTCCCTCCCTCCCTCCTTTCCCTTTCCCTCTTTTCTTCTTCTCCTCTCTTTCAGAGAGATTGGTTGCATTATCAGGTCACTGGGTTGCTTCCCAAATGAGGCAGAAGTACAGGAACTACTTGCAAAGGTAAATATTTCGATCTACTTTATTTTTTTTTCAGTCTTCAACTTGCAGAAGTTTGGCCCTTCTACCTTGCTGAATGGGAAATCTAAACTCTTTTCCAAGATGTTGGAAGTGTCATGGAAGTGTTTCCAGCAGACAGTCTTGTAGTTTGCCCTGAATCAGTTCTTTAGGCTGATGAGGTAGCGATGTGTTAAAATGAGGAGTCTTTGACTCTTTTTTGCCCAGAAAGGGACTGTGACACTGTGCCAAGCTGGAGGGACATTTTTAGAAAATGGAGGAAAAACTGACTGATGAAAAAGAATGTCCTAAACCTCAGTCAGATATCCAAACTCTAACCATCTCCCTCTTTTGGACATGCCATGGAAACACATTGCAGGGTTAGGTAGTAAAAATTAGTTCTTGAGCAGGTGTTAAAATTAAACATCAGATTCAAAAAATACCTAGAGGGAAAGCCTGCCATTTTTTGAACTAGGTCCTGTTATTGCTGCCTTATAGCAACCTTTCAACATTCTGTCCTTCATGAGGTCTTTCTCAGTCTTGGGATTTCTGAGTTATAGGTTAGAATCTTTTCTTACTTGATTGCTTAAATTTGTAAATCAGGCTTCAGGACATGAAACATCATAAAACCTAGTGGTCCTCTCATTCTCCCAGTGATAGACAGGGTAAGGTAAAGAAATTACATTTCTCCACATTCTTTTCCTATACTAATTTTTGTCTCCTTTCATCATGCTTGTAATAGAAAAGTGGTGTGCTGGTGCCTTGGCATTGTGTAATTAATAAATAGGACAAAGAAGTGGGAAAAAGAGTTCATATTCTTTTTGCAAATGGGCACACTGCTTTAAGGAGTGGACAGTGCTGGAGCTGAGAGGTGGGGGTAAGGATTTTTCTCCTATTCTTGTGTAGGTTAGGATGCTGGGAATTGATATCTCATACTGTTTTCTTCCTGCTCCAACAAAAATTTGGATAGTTGCAGTAGTAGTGTCTTCTCACTAGGCTTGTCTGGTCTCTTGTAGATCTGAATTTAGTGTGAGAAGTCTTGCACTAAGTCTTGTGAAAATGATGCAGCTGCTTCAGATGAGGAAGTGCAGAGATCCACTAGAGGAGAAAGCTCTTTTAACTTGATACTGCAATCTGTTTGCTCTGGTTCTGTACTCTCAGAACCAGATTGTCTCAGCTCCCACTGACAAACAAGACAAAATGGAAAGAGAAATTATGGTGCTTAATATAGATGAGGTTTTTAGTGTCCCACAGTGACTTTTCTTTACAGCAAATGAACAGTGCAACTCCTCACTGAAGATACAGATTTGTGAAAAGGGGATGCCTTGACAATCCTGTTCAAGTCCAGGGGAACCAGGAGAATTTAAGGCCTGCCTCATCCTCTGGAAGGGATTGGACTTTTTTTTTTCCCCCCAGTTTTCAATATTACTAAAAATGTGAGATAAGTAATACATAAATAGTACAATGCAATGTAGCTATGAGGTCGAAGATTCTTGAGATATAACAGTGTAACATGTATGAAAATGCTGATTATAAGAATATTAAAATACAAATACTGCAAGAAGAAAGAATACATTCAGAGTGATGGTTAACCTTAAAGAACACTGCACTAGCAAATAAATAGCAAATAATGTTTCATGGTGCTTGTAAATGAAGCTTTGGCATAGGTACATAGAACAACACTATCTTCTTGTGGAACCCTTCATATATTATGATAATCACATAATTTATGTAAGATGGCACTGTAATTGGCTGTAGTAATACCATTTTATCTTAATCTAGATAAGGTAAAAATTCTTTCTGTTAGCCAGTTTGTAACCAAGCTATTTCCCCAGTATTGTTGCCCATTTCTGTTTCTCACTACGTGTCTCTGTCATCTCATCTTCCTATTAGCCTTACTGTTAAACTAGCACATACTCCCATCATGTTATTAATATCTGCAAAAGCAGTATTCATATAATTATGTAATCTCTATAAATTAACATATAACATTTCTTATATTGCCTTATACTCAATTTTGTACTTAATATCATATCTCTAGGGTACTTAATATCATATCTCTAGGCTTACTTACAAAGATAAGATTAAATGCTAAATCTAGAGATGGTGGAAACTTACCTAAGGGTTACTACAATGCCTGGAGTTCGGTACAGTGCTCTGCCTGGTAACTCTGGAGGATGTTTTTGTTTCTTTGTATTTCAAGTACCCCAGTATTATGGCTGAAAGAACAGAGATACAAAACATAATAGGTGCTACAATACAGTTGTTGTGGGAGCTGTGGATGTACTCAAAGGAAAGGAATAGAGTGAAACTCACAGAGTCTGAACAAGCAAATACTGTTACTGTGAAAAGAGGAGGAAATACAGAAAAAGAAAACGTGAATTAGAAATGAGGTGTAGAGTGAGCATGAGGAAGAGTAAGAAGTGATAGAAATAGGATTAATTTTAACTGCTCAAGATGCTACTGTATCTATAGACACTCTGAAATGGAAGCTGTTTGTTCCATGTCAGAGGAAGGTGAGGTTGCTGATCACCTCCCAGGACAAAGTTTTGCCAGGTATTTTGTTACATATTTTCAATCAAGCAAGCAGCAAAACAAGTGATTCTGTAATGGTAAAAGGTTCCATTTGGTTTAGAATGAAGCATGCAACATCTTTATTTCCTTGCTGAAGATCCTTTATGCTGGGCTCACCAAATAGAAGGCAAATGGCTGTCTTGCCCCTTCCAGAACACTGGAAAAGAGCATGCAGCAGCAGTTACATCTTTCCATTTAAGCAACTGGATGTATAAGGAGCTGCCCCAGCTATGACCCAGTGTCCAGGAGGAAGATTCCTTACTAAACTTTTCCTGGCTCAGTTGTAAGATATGAAATCAGTGCCTGTTTGAGTTTTCTTTCAATCTCAGCTGTGTCTCAGGGGGCCTAGCAACCTCAAGGCATGCATCCAGTTTCAATACAGACAGGAACAGGCTAGCTCAATTAACAGGGCTCCTTTTGCAAGCAAAACTTGAAATTTTCAGGGAAGGGATGCACCCCAATGACAGAGAGCTGTTTTTTACCTTGTTGCTTATCTCCTGTGGAATTATAGGAATGCATTGAGAATGCTGCTAGAAATCCCCAGCATTTTGGGACTAATTTGTTTGCTGTTTTGGGTAGCATTTTATAGGCTGCCTTATGGCTGTTTTGGTTTGCCCTGACTCAGTCTTGTCTGCCACTCTGGTCCTTCCCCTGACAACTCTCTTTAACTATGAAACATGAAAGCAACAGAGTCTATCGTTAAGGTGCATTGACTGGAGATATATCCAAGCTAGCCAATTAAATATGCCCAGAAACATCCTTGAGTGTTGAAGCCAGCAGGCACAAAGCAGCTCATGCCCAGCCTGGTAAATGCTTTATGTAAAGGGCTGCACCAAGCATCCTGCTGGGGAGAAGTCCAAGCCAGCATCTGCTGGGCTAAATGTTGGGTGGCATAGTTCAAAATCATGCCAAGGGAACATGCTCATGGTTTGCTGTAATGAGTGTTCCCATTACACTGCTTGGGAATGCTCCAGATCCTGATAGACTTTACTGATACGGCTTCAGCGTGAATGTTTAAACCTCTGCTGAGTTATTGTGGCAGGTAAGATCAGTTCCTCGGTGTCCAGTTCCTTTGCATGAATGGTTTTGAAGCACAAGAGGGCAATACTGAGTTGCTGCAAGTGTCTGGTAGCAGACCTGTATTTCCCTGGGATATTAGTTCTTCCTTGAATCTCTTTCTATTTGATCACAAGCTTTTCACTCAGATGCTATGGTGCCATATGATATTAAAGACCTGATATAAATATCCAAAGTCTAATGCTGTAGTTTTAATGCAGGGATCACCCCAATTTTCTGTTTTTTGGGTTAGTTTGCTAATGAGTCATATACACTGCCACACTTAAATTTTATTTTTAGATTGAAGAACCGGATGGATTCGTTCATCTGGAAAACTTTCTTCGAGTGATGACAGAAGTTCTACTTGACAGAAGGTAATGGAAAGTGAATTTTATGTGTCTGTAGTTTAGTCCAGATTGACAGGGTTGATCCTGAAAAACAGAAATTTTATGTAACTGGAAGGAGTATAGATCTTCTTTGTTATTTGAACTCCTTTTACATTAGCTATATAGATTTTGTTTCAAAATTAGTTCATCTACATTAAATTATGTTGTACTGATGATATACGTAATACTAACTTATAATCATAATTGTGATAATATGTAGCTTTTTAAAAAAAATTGAATCAAAATTGCTATTCAACACACTTTGTATACCTCTGAAATATTTTGCATGCAAATTAAGGTCACAACTATTGCTTTCTCTGAACATATGAGTTACAGTTACTGAGAAACACTGAGTGTTACAGTGTATTCTAAAGAAGTTGTGCAAACAAGCTTCATATTTATGTCTCAAAATGGCTGCCAGGTAGAGCTGAACAATTAGCACTCTAAAAGACTGCTGATCTAGAAGTGATCACAAACGTGCATAGAAGTCTTTGCACATCCACAAGGACTCGTGCTATTTTGACATTTTACACTAAAGCAAGATTACTTACAAGGAGTTTAATTTTAAAGATGGTAGTCAAGGCTTTTGAGAAACTCAGTCTTGTGCAATCCTGAGAAGTTATTTTGCATATAGAGGGCCTTTGGTAGGAGGGTGTTCTACATATGAAGTAGCTGTGGCTCCACACTGATGTTCAGAAAATGATGCCTTGCTGCTCTGGGCTCTTCTCCTCCTCCTCCTCCACACCCTCTTCATGCAAGCTCACACACACACACACACACACACACACACACACACACACACACACACAAACACACACACACACACACACACACAGATACCTCCTGCACGCTTTCCCCAGGCTAGTGCAAGCTTGTCAAGACCCACTCCATCTTCTGGGGCACTGTCCATAGTTCAGTTAAGCAAGGGTACATGAGATTTGGATAATAAAATCCAAGGCTTCTTAGAACATTTGATTTTTAGATAGTAAAAGACTGAGGCAGGTTCGGACAAAGCAGTCAAACAGTTAGAACTTCCCTGGAGCTCCTTCTCTTTAGTATTCTGAGGGTTTGGGGTAAACCTGCTGGGATATGGAAAGTCTCCATTGCTGCCCTGAGCTTTCTTTCCTGCTCCAAAATCAAACATGAATATGCATGCATAAACGTGCCCAGTTCTCCCCTCTCTCTGAAATTGTTAGTGACAGACCTTTTATAGCTACCAGCCTCCTTTGCTCATCATCAGCTCATTAGGCTGCCCAAATCCCACTAGGTGATCTGTTGTCTAGTTACCAGCCTACCTGGACAAAACTTTGTTTTCTTGGTTTGTCCATTTCTGTTCAGTGCACTGGCTTTGTGGAATGATTCATCTGTTGCTGATTCCTGCTAACCCACCAAGCCAGCCCAGACATGCAGAAGACATTAATCTGGCTCCTCAGCACATGGGAAATTAAACAGTAGTACAACAAAAGATGTAAGAGTTAAATATATGCACAGTTCCAAAAGGTCAGGCTGCAATTAAATGTTTGATAGACAAAACTTAGTAAATTCTCATAGAATATAAGCCTTCCTTTCCCTTAGTACTCGTGTTTAGTTTTTTCAGAACACTGGCAGTTACTTAACTTTTCTGATTCCATGGTTTCAGATTCCAGCCTATTCCAGAAGATGTTATTCTACATGCATTTGAGGTCTGTAACAAAATATTCAAGTACCTAATTGCTGGGAAGAAGTTTCTGCTTTTTGATACAATAAGCTTAAAACCACAAGTTTTATTCTTTTTCTTTAAAGGCTTTGGATGAGAATAAATGTGAATATATTACCAAAGAGGACCTGGTCAAACATTTGACTGAAGAAGGTAACATGACTTCTGTAATATCAATATTTAAGTAAAAAGCATTACATAGTATATGGTACCTTGAGGTCCTCACCCTGCAGGCCAAAACCTGCAGGAGTAGATACATTGTCTTCAAACAATGCTGTTGCTGTAATGAGTGGTTACAGACTAGGACGTTTCACTTGTCAGTGATGCAGGGAAAGAGCATTTATCTGCCTGCTTGCAGACATTATAAAATAGAGATTTTTATTCTTATCCTTATCTGTAATTCAATTATGTCCGGATATTTTGTGATTCTGTGCACACCTCTGTGCTCACTAAATATGTGACTCTTTTGCTGTCCTGTAAAATTGCAGCTTAGATTTCTGGATGTTTCAGTGGTTTCAGTGCTCATTATCTTGATCTTAATTCTAGAGCTGCATGCAAACAAAGAGATTCAAAGGTGAGATTTAAGTTGTACATTCTGTAATCCTCAATATTTCTTGAAGAGCCTGCTTTTCTTGCATGGCTGACTCATGCCTACCTGCCTCATGTTCAAAAGGGTGTGCAGGTTTTGTGCGAGATCTAGCCTCAGATGGCAACCTGGTTCTCTGAGGGATGAAGTAGGCCATAAACAGCTTTGAAGAGAAAAACCGGAAGTCTTTCATGATGTGAATACAAGTGCAAGGAGAGCCAAATGAGAGATACTAATTCTAATGTCAGAAGAAAACCTGACAAAAGTGGTTGTTTTGAAATCCATGGCAGAGAGGAACAGGCTGTTTTGGGGTCTGTGAACTAGAAGATCAGATAGGTCCAGATCATCTGTCTCCTTCCTTTTGGACTGGCTCTCTTGGGTGCAGGACTTATATTGGCAAAAGGGAAGGAGTAAGATACTTAGTTTTGTTCCTTTTCTCCTCTGTGTGAGAATCAAAAGGAGATCCTTACAAGGGAAAGGCAGTGGAATTTGCCAGTCCTTGAAAGTATACTTACCAAGATAAAATGTTATTCTGTGCTGTCTTTCAGGTGAGCCCTTTACTCAGGAGGAAATGGAGGACATGCTCGCCGTTGCTCTAGATCCAGAAACAAATACTCTTCATTACAGAGAATACCGTACAAAGCTGGTAGTAGATGAAACTAAGACCTTCCCTTTTAATGTCTGAGATGCCTTTTGGTAACAGCACCATGGCTTGACAGATAGTTGAAATATGTATTTTAAAGTATAACAAAGCTCAGCGTGTGACTTGGTACTTATAATTAAAATGAAATCTGTGAAGTTACATTTCCTTGGGTTCTGTGTGTGTGTGTGTGTATATATACATTTAAAAATATATTCACACCTGGAAAAAGACCTCTTGACAGAAATACCGTGTAAGGTCTGGAAAAGAAATCATGGAATTTTGTTAGATAATAGCAGGAAATATAATGTTAATGAAGTAAAGAAATAACTCTATGACTGCTCTTGAAAAAATAAGAGAAAATGAGACCTGTGAAAACATGTAATAAGCAGGTAAGTGAGTATCTTAAAATGACTAATATTAGTGAGATGAAGCTTTTAGATTTAATTGTAGTCAGTCCTTGTTTGTGTTTAACTAATAAGGAACCAGGTAGGTTGCACCTTTTGAAATAATATAATAGATCAAATAAACTTTCTATAATTTCTAATGTTTTTCAAATATTTGTGTTTTGTTTACCATAGGCAATTGAATTGGACCAATTAGTTCCTGTTTATATTACTAATCTACTGACATGGTATTTTGCTTTCATATTAAATGTGCAGAGAACACTCCAACCATTTCCATAGTCAATCTTGAGAACATTTTGGTTACCTTGGTTACTTTAGGCAAAGAACCATTCCTGCTTTTGTAACCAGCTTGAAAGTCAGTAATTTAAACTCTTCAAAACTTAGGATCACAGGTTGAGAATTTGATTTTCATAAACTGATGAAGCACATGAAGCACGATTTTTTGAAAGATATTAGCATAGAATGGGTGTCTCAGCTTTTCTTGCTAGCAGACCACCACAGATCTCACAGCTCTTCTTATTTCTAGTTTGATAATTTTCTGTTACTGTACTGCTGTTCTTTAATTTGAGTTCAAGTTCTTTCCCCCTGAGGTCTTGCCATAAATAATCTTCTAACATGTGACCAGCAGCTGATGAGGTCTCAGCTTGTAGGAGATTCTGTGTTTTGCTTCTCAAGAGTAGCATCTTGTACTCCACCCCATTTCTGTTTTACTACTCTCTATCAAGTTTGCTTTCCTCTTGTACTATGTTCCGCCTCTCCTTTATTTCATGTGCATATTCCAGCTTTGTGTCATCCACAGCCCTCATTAGCTGATGAAATCTGGAGAAGACTGACACAGAGAGGCACTGAGTGCCTTACTCCCTGTCATGTCTTTTGTCCTACCCATTTGTTTCCTTTGGGCTGGAAGCTCAGACAAACTTTTCATTCACAGCTAAAAGTGACCTGCTGTGCTTCACAAAGAAGAGATTAGCATGATCTAAATGGGGTGATGGAAGCAGTATGAAAGAGACCATTTTTTGATTCGATTTTTACTTCTCTAACCCAAGTTGTCTTTCACTGATACTTGCTTAAACAGCAAGACAATGAAGAATTAATGCAGGTAGACAACATTTGCACAGTTCTAAGCTGCATCTGGGAAACACTGTTGCACTGCTCCTAAGACTCAGCAATACACTCTGGTTACCACAGTTACTGTGTGTTCCAACTTCATTGCCAGTAAGAAAGAAAAGCAAAGGCTATCATTATTATTACACTGGGAGAAGATACAAGGTTTTAAAGGTTAAAGCAAGAATAACAAAAGCCTTTTAAGAAAATACATTTTTATTAGCTTTCTTCAGTCTCTCTTTCAAAGCTGAAATTATTTTCTCTAGATGAATCTTCCAATTGATGTGGAAGTGTATTATACTGGATTTCTGATGCAGGTGGTGTGAGTAAAGTTTCATTCATATGCAGACTTGGAGTCCTTGTCAGTGTCATTTTGGATATCAGCAGGAAGATACTTATTTCAGGATATAATTTCATAGCTCCCAGTGCTCCAGAGAGCAGAATTTGTTTCTAGTGGTGTTTCCCCAGAGGCCGCCTCAGCTGTTGCTGTGTCAGATCAGGATGTCCACATACAACACTGTTACCATTCGTAGTGCAGATAGGATATTAACATGCATTCTTTTATTTTATATATATATATATATATATATATATATATATATATATATATATTTTTGTATTTCTTTCATGTAAGGAAAGAGGGTATTCTGGCAATTAAGAAGCGGGATTGTGATTGTGTCTGAATTTATTGTACCACAGCTCTTCTAGTTCCATCTTCTTTTACCCATCCCCAAGAAAGATAGATGCAAATGTGACCAACAAAAGCAAGTTGCAGTCTTTTATTTGGGCATAAGTAAGCAAGTTTTATTGCCCAGAGAGTTTCCAAACTGGGGGTGAAAGAATTGTCGAGAACCAATCTCGGACTCTGTAGGATCCTAAAACCTGAATGCACTCTTACAGCTAGGATCAAATAGAGAGGTCTGACAGGCTCATGAAGCAGCTGTCCCAGGGCTCACCCCAGAGGAAGTTGAGCAGTGGCCACACAAGGCTGTTCCCTTGCCTGTGCCTTTCATGACTTGCCAGCCTGTGGCCATTCATTTCCCCATGGTGGTGGTAGGCTGCATGAGGGACTGAGTGCCCTGCTTCTCTGTGCTCCCTGGGGATGAGCAGGGACCCATACCTTAGGGAAAGGGAGAGAAAACTTAGGGAACCATTTTGGTGAAACCAATGAAACACAGCTGAAAAATTAAAACTCTGTAATTTTAATAAAGATTTGTAGGGAATTATATATTTATTTTTACAGTGCTGGACGCATGTGGGGACTCATTGCCAGCAATGGACTTGTGCCTCTCTGAGAACTCCTGATCCTTTTTTATTACCCTTAATAATTTCCATATGCATAGAATTTCACAGTAGGTTCATGCATATTCACTCTGCTGATTTCAGTTACACTTACAGCTAGTTACACTTGTACTCAGTTTTTGTCAGAAAGTACAGAAAGAACTCCTGGGTCACTCTGCACAGTCTTTTTCAAGGTCCGAGGAGTCTTACCTCTTATCTTTTTAGCTTGGAAATTTGCATTCTTTCTCTTTAGCTGGAGTAATTTTGCTAGTGCTGCAGTTACTAGACTAAACAGCATATTTTACTTATGTTAGCAAGCTCAAAGCGACACATTTCACCTAAATCTAAATGGATTTAGATCTAAATGGATTTAGATCTAAATGATTTAGGTGAGACTCTGTCTCACCCTCTTTGTTTCTAAATGTGAAGGAAAAATATGTTACTTTGTCCTCTTCTTTGTGGTGAACAAATTGAACTGCTGAGTGGTCGTGAGCTATCTTTTATTACATGCCTCTCTCTGCTGGTTGTTTTGTTTTTCCCTTAAGATCAGGAACCAAGGTTTGGGACTGGAACAAAAAGAAAAATCTCCATGGAGGAACCAGTGTAGCACTTGGATTTCACACAGGGACATAGAGCCAAGGCATTGAAGAAACTGGAAAAGTCAGGGTTTTTTGACCTAACTGAAGGAGGGAGAGGGAAGGGAACTCTTTATCCAGATATAAAAAAGAAAACAAAATTAAAAGAAGAAGAAATCAAAGAAGCAAACACTGGAAACCATCTACACGTACAACTGAATCAACAGGCTGTTTACATCACTACTGTGAGTTTTAGGCTGGACAAGACTTGTTTAAAATTTTAAGTAGGTTCAGCTGTGTCAGGGCATATCTGGTGTATAATGGAGACCTCAGTCTTACTGATACTGTGGAGGAATTCTTCTAGCTGCTGAGCTTCTTCTTGGGAGTACAGTTGCTCATACTCCAGGTAATATATTGCTTTTTGTCTTCCCTTCATCACCTTTGAAGTTGTTTCTCCAAAACACTCTTCTGTCTGTTAGTGATAGTCCCATATATATTCATACCTGAAGACTTCAGTGTTTTCCCACTACAATGCACCAACATGATATTTACAGCTGCTTGAGATCTCCACTGGCTCGAGATCTCTACTGTGGGTAGAAACAGAAGTTGCAGGACTTCCTCCACCAACATGCTAATGGGCCACATCAGAGCTGGGACTCCATGGAAAGAATTGAGCTGTTCATCTGTGTACCTCCACCCATGATATCACACAGGTAAGAGCCTGAAAAATTTTCAGGCTCTTAGCTCTGTTCAGGAAATAAGAATTTCTTATTCTTATTTCTTATTTCATTTATTACCTTTTTCTCTTGTTTCAGTTGGTCTTTTCTCTTGATTCTCTTATGTGTCATTTCATTAATACAGTTTGTGTGATATCTTACAAGAATTGAAAATGCAGGAGAGTTTTGCTCTGCCTCACACCACTGATGCACTGCTGCACACTCTGACAGCTGCCCATATCAGGGTGGGATTTATCACCAGTTCCAGACTTGTTACCCCTGAAATCAGCATGGAAAAGCCTTCATCACAGGCAACAGGAAAAGCCTGAGCCTTGAGTTGCATGGGGGAAAGTGGCTGGGTATGCTGATGTTCAACCAAGGCTGGATGGGAACAGGAAGTTAGGATGTTTAAGGTCCAGTAATGCACTGTTATAATTGTGTGAAAGGGGGAGAGTAGTCTTGACAGTGACAGGAGGCTGACAGGAGGTTTAATTTTGGACTTTGTGAGAGATGTTGGAAGGTCACACAGTCTCTTGTTACCTGACCTTTCCATGTATAAACTCAGGGGAATTATAAAGAATAGGAGACAGGGAGCATCAGCCTTGCCTACTTGTATTGCTGACTTTTTGTATCACTAATTCTGATGTTTGCATGGTGTTTTGTACTATGATAGTCTGGTAACATAATTAAGGTAACATAATTAATAAAATTCTCAGCCTTCAAGTCTTTTGTTCCAGACTGTATGTTCAGGTCTCAATTTCTAAACAGGTCAGTCCATATTAAGTATGTTTTTCATTGCACACAACTCGTATTTCATAGTATCTCATGCCATGATAGGTTTGACTATAAAACTAACTATTAAAACATCTGCTGTTATTGTTGCAGGGTGTTTTTGGTAGGTCAGTGCTAGGCATGGGGACCATGCTGATTTAAAAGCTAAAGAAAGATGTAGGTTGAAACAAAGCAGATTCTCCCATTCAACCTATTTTGAATCCCTGGGGCTACTGTTTGGCTTAGTGTAGTTCTGAAAGCAAGAAAATGTTACTCACTATGCTCAAAAGATTGATCACAGCATTTGTGT